TCAGTGAGTGTAGGTAATAATTTTTTTTCTTTCAACAGGTTGCAATACATTTACATTTTCCAAATCAGCCTTTACTGAAAAGGGTCAAGTTTTCGCCTACACATTAAAAATATTAAAGGTATACAATTTGGTGGATTTAGTGTTGAAGTGGGTCATAGATTGAATTGTGTCTTTCCCAAAATTCATGTGTTGAAGGCCTAAGCCCTAGTACCCCAGAATGTGACTATATTTGGAGTTAAGGTTTTTGAAGAGGTAATTAAAGTAAAATGGGGCCCTAAGCCAACATGACTGGTGTCCTTATAAGAAGAGGAAGAGAACTAGGGATGTTTGTGCACAGAGGAAAGGCCACGTGAGAACAAGGCAAGAAGTGGCCATCTGCAGGCCAGGGAGAGAGACGTCAGGAGAAATCAGCCCTGCTGGCACCTCAGTCTTGGACTTCCAGTCTCCGGAACGGTGAGAAAATAAATTTCTGTTGTCTATGATGCACAGTCTGTGGTATTTTGTTATAGCGGCCCTAGCAAACTAATACAAAGTGAAGAGATCAGAGAACATTAAAATTAAAAAAAAAGTTATTTCCCAGTATCACTTTTAGTTTAGTTACCCCCCACCCCCATCAGTTGCTTTCCCCATGTCGGTGAATTGCTGATGCTTGTCTTTATCCAGGTTTACCACCACTCTCTATGTAGAGCTTAATACTTTACTTTTTCACCTACTTTATACTCCTACACTAAATGTTCAACCTAAGGGCTAATTTATAATAGGTGATTTTTTTTAAAGTAGTAAAAATATTTATTTTACTAGTAAAAAAGATTTTCCAAGAAATACTAACAATTGTGTTTAGGGTGAGAGGGAATTTTATACCTATAGCACCATCAATACCCCGTGACATCAACAGATATTTATTGTGTACCTACTGTGTGCCAGGCACTGTGTTAGGTGCCAGAGATATGGTAATGAACAAGTTAGAGAAGCTCCCTGCTCTACAGAGAAGGCAGCTGGTGAACTAATGAACCAACTAACTGACCAACCAATGATTACAGGTATGGTAAGAATGAAATAAACAGTATGCCATGATAGAGACTAGTATGGGAGACCTACTTGAGGAGATGCCTTTAATCTGAGTTTGGAAGCCAGAGAAGCAGCCTTTACATATGTGTAAAGGGAGCCAATGTACATGTGTGTGGCCAGACAGGGCAAGGGTAAAGTGGGAAGAATGTTCTTGACATAGGCAAGAACTAGTATCATGGTCTTGAGGCAGTTTTAGGCACTGATTAAAGTGGATGCTGCTAAGTATTGGGATTGAGTGGGAGAAGTCCATGAGACTGGGCCTGAGACAGGACTAGGCAAGGGTTGGCCTGTGCACAGGCTTATAGGCCTGGCGAAGGGCCTGGGTTGTAAACCAAGTGCCGTGGGGATCTATTAAAGGGTTTTAAGCAGGCAAGCCAATAAAAATTTAGACCTCATATATGAAACCTAGAAATGGCATCAAATATATAATTTCCTGTACTTGAGAAAAACATAAGCAAAACAAATTTTAACCTATTTATATGCGATCAGGGGTCTAATAGCTAAGTGACAGTAATTGATCATGACATCGAAGTATGGACAGTAGCCTTTAACTGCACTCCCTCCTTCCCTTACACAGGGGGTCTTTTCAGAGCTGAGAGTAATATGCCAGAAGCTTATGAATATGGTAAGTATCAAGGATATAATTATGGGTAGAGTTGGAAGTTCGGGGCTGGTTTCCCATCTTTTTAGTCTGCCTGCCACAATGGGTCCCTATAAACCACTAGCAAGCCCAGCACTTGAGCTTTAGGGACAGGCAGAAAAAGTCCTCACTGTATTACATTTTAATACACTTTCTCCCCCATTGGAGAAGATGGTTGAAAACCATTAAGGCTTTTAAAACTTCACTGTAGTAGGAAGACAGCAGGAATTCTCCCTTGAGCTACAGTGAATTTATTTGGCTTCTCTGACATCAGAACCAGAAAGGACACAGAAGTGTTTCTCTAATTTAGCAGACTATTTACAAATGAGTCAGTTTCCCATTGTATTAAGTAGTTAATATGGGGAAAAGTCTCCCACACGAGTTAATCCGGAGCAAATATGAATAATTATAAAAACAAATCTTTTAATTTAGAACAGCTATTAAGTTCCTGTTTATAGACCATCTCATGAAGGGTACAGATACCGGAGGCATGAGGAATGGGGTGGAAAACAGATGGGACCCAGTGTCAGAAGACCTGTGTGCAAGCCCTTTCCAGCATGTGACCTTGGATAACTCTCTTAATGTGCCAGAGCTACCATTTTCTTATCAGTGAAACGGAATTAATAATATCTAAACTTATAGAGTTTTGGTGAGCAAATAATGTATAAGAGAGGGCTCTGTAATTTTTGAAGCACTTCATAAATGTAAAATTTATTATTCATATTCTGGCTGCCATGAGGAAATACAGGAGACTAAAGACAAAATTTTTGCTCTTTTGAAGACTGTAATTAAAACGGAAAACCACAATGCATAGACTAAATACAAAAATGGTAACATTAACAACCACAGTTCCTATTACTAGTATGAGCTCAAAATATCGTTAAAATGAAATAAAAATAATGTGGTAGGATTTGCAATTTCAGGAAACAGATATGTGGTAGATGCAGTGTGGAGTAATGTCCAGAAAAGCTTTCTGAAAGGCACGTGTTTATGTAGGTTTTATAATAGGCAAGGTAGCATAGTGATTAGGAGTTTGGGATCCAGTAGATAATGGTTAAAGTTCCTGATCCACTGTTTCATAGCTATGTGACTGTGGGAGAGTCATGTAAACTCTGTAAATTGATACCTTTATTTATCTAGAAAATGGGGATGAATGCATTTACTCTATGGGCTTACTCTAAGGACTAGGGGAAATTATGTAAATAAAGTTTTTACACAGTGTTTAGCAGGAGACCTGTGCTTTAAAAAATGGTAGCTTTTAGGATTATTACCCTTTCATATCTCACCAGAGTTGAAGGATGGTGAAGCATTATTAGCTATTAAGATGACAGAGGTGAGAGATCACTACATCACTTACATAATCATGGCAGGTGTGGGAATTATTAGGATCTAATTCAATACAAAGGAAAGAGAAGATAAATGAGAAATTCAAAAGAAAAGTTGGAAATTTCTAAGAACAGAAAAAAGCATAAAGAAATATGGAGGGCAGCAGTTCTTAACAAGGAGCCTGTTTCGTTGATCAGTCTTAAGTTCTGCTTTGTTTTCGAAATAAGTACCACCGCTCGTTTTCATCAAGTAGATGTGAGGTGTCTCCGTGAAGACAGTTTTACTGTCTTAAGTGACCATCAAGTCAGTATGATCAATCACTTGAGTAGGGAAAACGGCTGGTAGTGACAAACTGTGAGCTTTCCTCTTTGGATATTTCTTTGTTACAAATTTACGTAAGGTCAAAGAAGAGTGGGAGAAGTAATTGGAGTGTGCTCAGAATTACGGGGGAGAGGACACGGTACGAGACCACAGCTTTGCCTTCAGACATGATTACTCTTCTTTGAGGAATGTCAATACTTTTTTTTTTTTTTTTTTGGTAATTCAGTATTTAGCTCTGCTGTTTCAGCTACCATATAACATTGGGGATCCAAACTCACTGGGTATAAGATTAAAGCAATCACTCTTCTCATTTGCAGTTTTGAGAGGCTGAGAGGTAACAAAGAAGAGGAACTGTTGGATCTATGTTTGGCAACTTTGAACAAAGAGGTGAGGTCAGTTGAAGAGAGCTTCTTATTTTTATGTTTGTGAAGTGTAGGATGTAGTATAAAATGAAACTAGTGTGCTGGTTATATTTTTTAAAAAATACAAATTAAGATAAATATGTATCTACTAATCAACGTTCATCAATGTATCACCTAAAATCATCTCATGTACTAATTTTGTAAGAATAGTTCTAGGCATCAGGAGCAGGAAGCAGTCCAGGGAGGAGAGTTCTAGAAACAAAGAAGTGGCTAACAATACCAAGTGATGAAGGAGATGACTGAGAAATGGCCATCACATATTTCAGGGATGCTTTTTGTGAAATAGTAGAGGAAAGGAGGCCAGCTATTTTAAAGGCAATTTAACCCATTGGTTCACTTAATATTTATAATGACAAAAAAAAAATCCATCAGCCCTTAGTTCAGAGAAAGTTAGAGTTATTAAGCAAAATTCAAATATTTCCAAGGAACTGGTTTGCTAAACACATTTGTAAACACAGGAGTCTAAACTAGATTGAAACATATGATAAATACATAGTCTGTCCCCTTATTTTCATTCAAATTGCAAATGTACATTTATTATCAAAACCAAGTAACTTCAACCTAGGAATCTCCTAGGGCACAATTAAAATAGAGAAAAACTTTATGAATGCCTTTATCCAAATACACAGGGCTATCTGAATTCATACATTTAACACATCTGGAAGTAAGCTTTGCATATTCTGGGACTTGAAAGTAGGCTTTAAGAGGATGGCTCTCCAGAAATATTGGTAAGTCAGAGAAGAGGTGAAAGATAATTTCTCCCGCTGTTACTATTAAGGAAAGGATTTCCATGGTATGATCCCATCCCATCACTTTTCCTCTTTTCACTTCTATCTTAAATTAATACAGCACTGTCCTCCAAATCAGCAAAGACATCCATGACCTTGGAATAAGACAAATTCTTGCATCACTATTGTGTGGTAATTCGACATGGCACATGTAACACGGAACTGACTGGTGGGACCCAGAGCCCTGCATCCACTGAAGGCTAATATTTAGCATGGTATCCACTTACACAAGTTTTTCCTTTAGCTGTGATGAATTCTATGGTACATGAATGGGAAGTATCCAAACTAACATCATGAAAGACGTCTTAACTGAATCAGTTCAAAAGTGACTTAGTGACACCTGTAGCATCCGCTTGCCCTTTGTGGAGACTTCTTGTCAAGGGATCAGACTGTTACCCTCCCTAAGGACAGTCAAGCAGCCAAACCTGCACTAACCATGATGGGTTGTTCCGGAGCCTGTTGACATACAACCCGATGAGAACATGTTCATCAGCTAGCCTGTCTGCCACATTCAGGCTGTATTGTATCCTGAAACAGGGCAGGAGGAAGAAAGGGTGTTGGTAGGAGAGGCGAAGAGAAAGAAACAGAGTAAGTAGGAGTGAGTTTATGATAAAAAAAGGCATTTAGAAAACCAAGCAGGTAGAGGAAATGTAAGTGATGTTCTATAAAAAATCCAAGCAAAATCCAAGCAATGAAATACACAGTTCCATTTCACTAATTTAAAAAAATAAAGATTTCCATTTAGGTAAATTAGTTTTTAAGGAAACAGATTTGCATTCTTCAAGTCACTAAAGCCAAGAAATTCATCTGTACAGTAAACACATTGATTGGGTTGCAAGCAAAGAGTAAGCATCCTTTGGAAAATCAAATCTAAAGTTTAGTTACTTAAAAAAAAAAAAGGAAATCAGAGAAAGTGAATAACACAGATGTGTCTACTCCAAAGAACTACATGGTGCTGTTAGTGGGGTTATAATAGAGCTGCTTCTACTAAATCAAAGATGGTCTTTCAAACATAAAGCATTTTTGACACAAGAAATCTCCATTTTTAGTTTAGTTAATTCAGGATTCAGTACACTCTGGCTTTAACTTACCCTTTGCCCTTCAGAAAAGCTGGAGCAGCCCTAGCCAGCAGTTTGTTCTGCTCTACTTCACTGTCCTTGGGAGGAGAGCTAGTTAATAAGATGGGAAAGCCAAGAAGAGCGTAAACACAGCAATGCATTCAAGAATAGAACTGGCTACAGAAACTCCCAAGTCTAGATCCAAGCTCCATTTGGACAGCTCTCTTGTTATTTTGAAAGGTTCCAGATGTTTTCAGATTTCCACAGAGTTGAACTAGGACTAGAAACCTGGCCTGAGAACCATAATTGTAATTACACAAGCTTCCATGATCCCCGATTTGACCTCGCTATTTGCTTAACAAATAGATTGCATATGCCCAGACAAAATGAAAATTCACTGAACATTCATTATGGACTATCATGTAAACGGCCCAATAGTTCACTAAGTGCTGCCAACCTTCAGATCCTACTCAAAAAGTATACTTCTCCAGCCTTCCCTATATTTTCCAACTGTCTGAGTTGAATAGAGACTTGAAAATTACCTAGAAACTGCAGTCATATTAGAAGTGCTTTACCTACTCCAGGCACAAGTCACCGTACCCATGCCGAGAAGCTGCAAAGAAAACTTTCAGAGAAACAGAGAAATAAACCTTTGAGCCTTATAAATATATATATTCATATTCCCTGTGTCTATAACTGGTGAATAGAGGCCTATCAATACAGTAAATTCTTACCATTTTAGGTTCATTATGAGGAACACTCATTTAGTAATTTAAATGATAGTTTTAAAAAGTTTAAAGTGTGGTTTTATCAAATGACAAATAGAAATAGAAATAATAATTAATAAAGTGTGGCCACGTGAAAGTCACCCAGGATCTACTAAGCATGCTTCATTGAGAAATATGGTATGGATCCTTAGTAATACAATTGTACATGTAATGTGCTGAAAGGGAGCCTACTCTTTTGTAGGTTAAGAATTTGCCCTCTCACACTGGTGGACCAAAAACTATCCTCCCGCCCTTTTCATGGAGAACACAAAAATTAACTGTCTGACTTTGATGACCAAATCTTTAATTTCTGGGGTTGAAATTATGAGGTTTTACCACAAACTTTCCCAACTTTTCAACAAGTTCTAAAGGTATGTATGTGTTAAGATGGCTTATAAAGTAGCTAAAATTTTAAATAAAACTTAAACTACAAGTTTTAAGGATTTACTACAAAGTACCACTGTTTTAGACCATGAAGTACAAAGAAAATACCAATGTGAAAACCAATATCACTTTAGAATTATGCACATTGTAACTAGAATTCTTGTTTTATAATTTTATATACTATGAGATAATGCTTAAGCAGTGAGGTCTCTGGCAAACTTAAAATCAAATTTGATGTATAAAGAAAGTGTCTAGTAGAGAGTAGCACTCGTGTTTGTTGAATGTATGACCTCACTTAGCTTTTCAGGAATGAAACTATTACTTAAAAAGTACAACTGCACATAAATGTAATTGACTTTAACAATGAAATGATTAGTGTTCAAGGAGAATTTAACTTTTGATGAACAGAATGAGTTTTTTCATCATACTGATCTTCACCTTCTAAGATGATGAAGTTGTCCATCAGGACGAAATAGCAACCTTAAGCCATCATAGTTGGTATTTTCCTATCATCGCACCAAAACAGCATTCCAAACCTTGTCTTCTGAAGCATACCTCTCTGTATTCATTATCCAGTAATTAGAGTCTCTCTGCTGCCCAATTACCACCCTCCCCAACTTTTTTTTTCTTTTTAACTCAAGATAGATGTACCTACTATATAACTGATTTCAGATTCCTGCAAAACCACTCAAAACATGGTGTGAAATTTCAATGATTCTTCCCTCCAAACTTAAGTATTTCCTTGCCTTGTTATGCATTTTGCCCCTTGAATTCCAAAAATTGTGGTGGTATTTGATTCCTTAAATCAAAAGCTTAATAATTGTGCAGGTACAACCTCTGGTGCTGAATGCGCAGGAAGAAAGAAAGAACTAGCAGAGAAAAGAAACACAAGAGGCTCAACTGGGAGGATGCGTTTGCTACCAATTATGCCTGAGAAGTCTTAGAGAAGGAAAGTGATGTGTCAGTAAAGTCCCAGGAAGGCGTCTTGCATCTTGGCCACAGGAGGAGTCCTGCTGGTTTCAGGAAGGGAACAGAGGCCCAGATTCTCCTTTGGTGGCCTTATTCTTTCTCTCCCAATTCTTTGGGCCCTCTCTTTCCTTCCCCTACTCCATTTGCCTGTCTTCCTTCTTCTCTTCTTTTTTCTTCCTTCTTCTTCCCAAATCCTTTCCTCCTTCAGAGGGAAGAGGAGCAGACATTCTATCTGTACACATCTCTTTTCATTTTGTTGTCATTTTCAACGAATGAAATGCCAATGTTGGTTTGAAGAAATCATTTAAGTTCTTTTATGTTCCGTCTGCCTCCCACATGAATTCTTAGGAAAACCAGTTCTTGGAAAATATGGAAATTACACTCTCTGCTTCTATGAATTTGTGGAAATACACTATTTACTTCATTTTGCTACAGCTCTTAGTATCTAGTGCCAAGAGCATGTCTGACTTTTGGTACTCAGTGTCCACATAGTTTCTGGACTTCCTAGAACTAGTCTCAAACTCTTCTCCTCATCATTTATTTCTGGGAAGCCAAATATATGACCATGTATAGAGGAAGCCAAGTTCATGATGAAGACAAGAGAGGATCAAAATGAAATGGATCAAGAACTTAAAGAGTTGACAGGGGAGGCAGTTTTCACTTTACACTTGGGTCTATAAAGACTTCATGTGAAGTATCTTCACTAGATTTTCTTTTGTGACTCCCCAGGAGCTCAAAGAAGGAAAACAAAGTGAAAACCTTTTCTCCCCAGTTGTGAAGATAGTAATGATACGTAGTTCATTATCATTTCTTCAAAGCAACATACGTCACGATACTTTATAGAATATACTAGATGTTTAAATTTTCACTTGGTGGCTTGGCCATTTGTGTAGAGAAGTTGGGGCATATTTCCAATTTGTTGTGGGCTTTGGGATCAGACACATGGGCACCTCCATTCTTCTCAAGAAGTGACGCTTCTGGAAAGTCTGTGTTCCAGAATGCAACAATGGTTGGCACATAACTCCAGCAATAGAAGCCTCCCCTTCTTCCACATGCCCTATTCTCAAATCAAAATGCACTCTTCCTTTTACCCTCTGAAGCTGGGAACTACCCGGGGATCCTCTTGACCATGTGTGAGAAATCTTTTCTAATCTGAGTCCCAAGGAAAAGCAGGGTCACCATCTCTAAAATTGTGTGTACACATATTTCTTTTTCTCATTGTTTTTTTCCCCTACCAGGTCCTTGTCATTGTATAACTTTACTCCCCTGCACACATACTAACATGAATGGGCATGGGGACCATCATACCCTGGAAGAGATGACAAGGTAAATTTTGAAGTTGATGTGTTTGGCTGAAAGAAAAGAGGTGGGGAATATTCCTTTAGATTTTTTTTTTCCTAAAAAATTCTCTATGTTCTCACCAATTCCTTTTGAGAGCTCTGGAAAAGAGCAACTTTATATAAAGAGAAACGGCCTTTTCCCAGATTTTTTTTCATACACACACACACACACACACACGCACACACACACACACACACATTGATACAATGGGTTCTGGAATGGTAGAGCAATTTCAAAATGTCTCATATTTATTTAAAATTCACCCTTGGTTTTGAAGGGTGACAACTAATGTTGAGTTTTTTTTTTTTTAAAGATTTTATTTATTTATTTGACAGAGAGAGACACAGTGAGAGAGGGAACACAAGCAGGGGGAGTGGGAGAGGGAGAAACAGGCTTCCCGCTGAGCAGGGAGCCTGATGCGGGGCTTGATCCCAGGACCCTGGGATCATGACCTGAGCCAAAGGCAGACGCTTAATGACTGAGCCACCCAGGCACCCCTGTCCAGTTTTTTGCTTAAGTGTAAATTTCATTTTTGGGGTGTTCTAAGGTAACAAAATCACGCACAAATGCTCCCTGGATTTTTGCTGAAATCTGAATTATAGTTTTAAAAGCCATTCTTGCTTATGCTGTGTTACTGCTTTAGCTCTGGTCAAATATTTTTTTCTTTTATTAAACATGAAAATAAAGGATTTAAATAAAAGTCCTGGATGCAGTCTCACAGAGCAACAGTATTATATAAACAAATTATGTAATGTAAAATAGTTATTATCATCATGGTTAAATGGAAAATGATATTCAAATGGCAAATTAAAAACATATTTTCATTTTTACTAATTTTTAAATAATTGATAAACTTGTGTGGTGTTTGAACTGGTAAAGGATGACTTGTAAAGTTGGCTCCCTTCTTAAGTAACTAACTGTTAACTGTGAATAAAATTTTGCTTCTCATGTATGTATGTAAACACACACATATGTGTATAGCCATACATGTATGTATGTGTGTACATTTACACGTATGAAAGTATATGTTCATAATATATATGAACATATTATATGTTCATTTACATGTGCATATATAAGTATGTACGACATATTGTTTATATATGTCAAAAGTTTTTGAACTGCACACTTATTTTAAATATATTCATTGAATTATATATCAATTATATCTCAATAAAGCTGTTTTCTATTTAATTGCTTCTCACTATAATTAACTCAGGCTAGTAACAAGGTCACTAAACTAATTTAAAAACAATAAAAAATGTCTACAAGTTGAGATAATTTCTGAAAAAATTCTGTTTTTCTTTCCTTTTCTAGTTTTCAATATCTGAGATCTGAAACATAAACTATCTGCCACATGCAAATCAGCAAACAAGCATAAAAAACAGCTCAGTGTTTCAGTGGGAAAATTAGTTGTCATCAATTCAGGCTGGCATGAGAGCTGAACTATCTTTTAAGCAGGTACCGCAGAGGAAATAAGAATTCTTAGGTCATATTTGATTCACTACATTTACTACATTGTCCCCCAGATATCACTAAGCAGTGTCAATTGCATTTTTGTCAAGAGAGCATCTAGAAAAGTTTGCTGGGTATAGGGCATACACAGAGAAGAACTAAAGCAACTCTAGTAAGTGAATAAAGTTTACTGGAGTGAAGAGGAGAGGTGACTGGAGTTTTAATTATGCACTAATATTTCAGTATAGGAAATAGAATGGAGTGTGAAGACCAGTTTAATTCAGGTTTGGAAAAAACTAACATATTAGTGGAGCTCTGGGGCTACTTGGTATAAAGAATTAACTGAAAAGACTATTTCAAATTTCATGAAATTTCACACAACATAACCTGAAAGTGTGAAAAGAGTGAAGAAATCTTCACGGTGGTTGATTTATAAGTTCATCTATTTTATGGTGTTAACTCATCTGTTTTCCTGACTAGAAAGGATGGTTTTTAATCTTAGAAAAAATTAACCATGGAAAAACGTTGGTTTTCAGAAGCCAAGGTTGAATTCAATGCCTCAATTTTATTTCTATTTGCTTTTGATTACCAATGCACAAATGCTTAAAATCTAGTTTGAATGTTTTAAGTCTGATTAAAAATCTGGGTTGTTAGGTAGAGAATCTTTGGGTAAGCAAGTGTTTGAAAAAACTGAAAAAGATACAATGAATTACCCTTTCTGTGGCTGAAAACCCAAACCAATCAACCAACCAACCAATCAACCCGTCAACCAATAAAAATCTCACGATGTTGCTCTGGTGGGAAGAATCAGGATTTGGAGAGTATTTGGGGTGAGTGATGTGCCTTCCCCATGAGTGCTACTAAGTTGAATATAGTATTAGCTATTAACCAGATGGCACTGTGACAAACCAGAAAATAGCCCATTAGACTGTGTTCGACACACTCTATGAATCATAAGCAATTTTCTGACATTTGGGAGAGTGATAAGATCTGGCTAGATGCTATATATAATAGCCAAAGTGATTCCTTTTGTGAGTAGTTACTACTCTAGAGGTTCCATTTGTGAAAGTATCTGTGAACCTTCAAGAGATGGTTCTGAAATTGGGGGTAAAGAAAGTAGCATTCAAACTTTTACAATGTCCTTATTGTGGTAATGAAGATGTTGGCCATAATTAAAGGGCCTTATTTGACATGGGATAGGACTGGTTAATTTTCTTACATAAATGATGCAAGGATTTTGTCAAGATAATTAAGATTTTACAAAGGGGGCACCATGCCAACAAAGAGAGCAGATAGGCAGGGGCATGATGCTGAGGGCGGTGAAGGGGAGAAGGGTCCTTTGGGTCAGCCCTTGCAATACTCTTTGTAGTAATGATTGTCAATCTTTCATAAGCATAGATAACGTTGCCGCCACAACATACATGGCCCTTGGAGCTCTTTTCCCAGTGGTGGTGAGAGTCTTCCATTGCTCCAGCATTTTTTCCCTGTAAATTTGTGCATTTATAAGAAAATAATCCAGGTTTAGGGATATAGTTATGATCACAAAAATGAGTGAAGTGAATTAGTCCACAAATTGTGTGGACCCCATATCGTACCTAATTGCACACACACGCATGCACACACACGCATGAAGACTTCCAAAGTTTAAGGGAGGGTGCCTTTGAGAATTCCCTCTTTTCTTTTAAGTAAGGGAAAGCTGAATCAAGTACATAGCTAGAAATGGAAATAAGAACAGGGCTGCGACAGATGGTGGTGGTAACCAGAGCTATACACTAGTAAATCTGTGTAGGGTAGATTGCTAGGGTGTCAAAGGACTTCAAAGATACACCCTAGTGCCTTTTGAAGATCAAAGTGGTATGCTTGTAAAGGACTCTAGGTGAGTAATGTCAGGAGTTTGTAGCAAGGATTCTGGAGTGGCGATTTCAATTCATCCTCATTTTGCTTTATCTTTTCAAGATCTCTCACAATACAGAAGACCCAAAACTCAGGCTAAATAAAATATCTGTATGCCAAACCTCCCTACTTTCTTAATGCTGCCTTAACACTGACCAGCACCACCCTTGGCTTGTTTAGGTTTTAGGCTTCCCCAGATCTTTATTTTATTTTTTAAAAATTTTTAAACAGATTTTATTTGAGACAGAGAGAGAGAGAGAGAGAGAGCATGAGCAGGGGGAGGGGGGAGAGGGAGAAGCAGACTCCCTGCAAGGGGAGAGGGAGGGGGAGGGGGAGAGGGAGAGGGAGAAGCAGACTCCCTGCTGAGCAGGGAGCCAGGGCAGGGCTCAGTCCCAGGACCCTGAGATCATGATCTGAGTTGAAGGCAGACGCTTAACTGACTGAGCCACCCAGGTGCCCTGGTTTTATCAGATTTTTTAAAAAAGGGCAGTGGGGATTGGGCAGGAATGGAGGGCAGAGCTCTAGGTCATATTTCTTTGGTTCAGTTCCAGTTGTAGGAAGAACTGGACTTTTAATTTATGCCTGCATTTGACATGATGGGTTTCCATTAACCTTTGTGTATGGACATGGTTAAGAAATAAACAGTGGGTCACCACCAGCATCATCAAGTGAGAGAAAGTAAGCACCGAGAGCGTGGAATTGGTTTTGAAATTGCTCCTGTAATAGGAATCAGACTGCCTTACCTGGGGGAAAAGTGGCCCAGGCCTAGTGGGACAGTAAGGCCTAAAGTCTCAAGTCTTTACCACAATGTGGTCCAGCCATGGGACCTTGTCCTGGCCTTACCCTGTTAGTGCTAAAGATCAATCACTCCAAGAGGCTCTTTGATTCAAGAATCTAAGAAATCACCATCTGGGGTCTTGCAGACTGTACAAAAGCAGAGACTCCTCTAAAGAAGAAGATCCAGATTGGTACTCTTCATATATATGTATCTCATATATACTGCTATGAGGCTGTGAAGTCAAGAACAGAAGTGGAAAAGAGAGGAAAGAGCTGAGAAGTCCAGCTCGGGTTGAACATGCTCAGTGGAATCTCATGAAGCCCCAGAAGATGACGATATCTCTACTGAGGATTTAGTGATGGAGCAGGATGACTTTAGAAGAGGATTTTAGTGATGGAGCAGGATGACTAGCAGTCTAGCTATGGCACTATGAACTACAATTAGTGCTTCAGAGCTGGGATACTGACCGTGGGCTGTGGTCAAGCTGATTTACATACAGCTTTATGAGTGAATGCTCCTCAGCCCCGGGGCTGGATGCACTTATCCCCTCAGGTAACCTGAGGGATGCAAACAATGAGACCTCATTAGAACCTTCCATGGACAGAGCAAGGCCCACGCAGAGAGGAAAGATGTTCAGTGTACACAGCTTTATTGAACAGCACCCTTAAAACAGAAACCAGAGGCTAACCTCCATGGTGATAGATAGCAAGGACCGCAAACTTTAAACAACGTATCTGTGGTTCACAGAGAACATTCCAAAAGGACTGAAAATGGGAAAAAAGGGAAATGATCATAGTTTGGGTTAACGGGTACCATGCACCCTGGAGGAACCAGAACAGCTCAAAGTATTATAGGAATATTTTAGAGTAGAGGAAGCCATGTTATCCATCTAGACGCATCCACCATAAGCACCGTCCGAGCTGAAATGATATAAAACGACCTTCAGTAAGGATGGGGTCTATCTCTGCTTTGACATTTGCAGAATGCAGTGTCTCCTAATAAAAGCACATCTTTCTTAACGTCATGCCAAATCTTCCCTAGATAGAGGTATGGCCCCACGTCCCTTCTAGACTTTACGGTAGAAAAGATGGTTGAATCTGCTGGTGGCTTTGCGAAGGAGTGCTAAAAGGAACATACTGAGGGCTTAGAACATGTTATTTCACTCTGGATGTTCTGCAGTTCAGTTTTGCCTCCTCATTTCCACTTGTTATAGACTTGCTTAATTTTTAGGGAGGCAACACCATGAACTGCTGCATCTTATTTATTATGCTAATTACAATTACGGGGAACATCTTCATCTCACGTTCTTGCTGATGGGCAAATACAGGAACTCAGGGGAAAAAAAAAATCAGCGTTCTGAGTCTCATTGTGTGTAAATCCTTACTTGAATGTACCAGGATATTACAGTGAAATTCAGAACATTAGAAACCTCTCTGGGGGAAAAGACTGATTATGTTCCCTTTATGAAACATGAGGTTGTTGTTTTTTTTTTTTTTCTGAATGACATTTGAAATCTTACGTTCATTACTCACTCTAATTTTCCTTACCTTTGTTTCTGCTTTCCTGTGAGCCTTCTCTGTGTATTTACAAAATAAGTCCCTAGTACTTTATTTGCGAGATTTGATCAAACAATTTGGAGCACCTCTTAACCCTGCATATTTATCAAGCTAGCTCTAATAGAATTATTTGCTTCACCTGTTCTTTGCTCACACGGTGTGGATCTTTGTATAAAAAATAGGAGACACGTACCCCTTTTTAAGAAGTTCTTCTTGTTATCCCTGAAATCACTTATATGGAAACTATTCTTCCAAGTTTGGTCTTCAGCCTCTAGCCTCAGGAACTCCAGAGCTCACCACATTATGAGAGGAGATTATAAACTGTCTCAGAATGTACCTAATAATTTTCCACTGCATCTTGAAATTCCAATTCCCTCCATTCCAAGTGCCATGAAGGTGACTTTCTCAATGACATAGAATACAGGCGTGTCGGTCATAAAATTTAAACACACCCCACGTTCTTACTGTGAGGAGATTGCAAATGCAAGTTTCCAGAAGTGACACTCACCCCAAAAGCCATCCCAGCCATCGTCAAAAGCATCCAAATGAATGAAAGTGAAAACCTGTGACAGATATTTACAAACTAGTTTCTAACAATAATCTTCCACACCTGGCTTGCATTAGAATATTCTTCTTAACACAGAATTAGGGGTCATTACCAAGGAGAGGGCTTATTTCATAATAAGACTGGAACTTACCTCCTGGTAATAAAAGGACTTCCTGAGGGGACTGAGTGGGAGAAGAGCGTGTCATTCATGCTGGTTACAGGTCTGGGCGGCCTAAAACGAAGTACAGTGCGGGTGGAAAGTTAAAACAAATAGAAGTCACAAATAAAAAACTATCCACCACCTTTCCAGGAAAGGGGCTGGGATCAACACAATATTTTATATTTTGCAATGAAAGTCTTTAAATGTTTTGGGAAGTTACATTTCCTTAAAAATGTGGAGTGTCCAGTAAACATTAGGAGGAAAACCTCTGGGCACCACAGGAATGTTTATCCATGAGCTTTGAGCCTTGGTGTTTTCCTTGAGTCATATTCTTGAATGAAGCAAGGACTTTGAGGCAGCTCCAGGTTCACTGTCTTCTAAAAGGAGAACCTCTGAAAAATTGATGATAAGCAGCATCTACATCCTCTTGGAAAGCAGAGGTTTCAGAAACTTCCCCTGTGCTCCGCATGACAATGGTTCTTTCTCAATACACCCGGTCTGGAAGGAGCCAGTTGCAAAATCATATTGGGCCTGATTTGCTCTTCGTTCTATGCGAGGATACAATCAAGCACCACAGGATTTACTGAATGTCTGTTATCTGAATGTTCCATATAATAGGGCACACAGTGCAAGGCATCCCATAAACTTCTTTTCATATGATGAGAGAAAGAAAATAGGGCTCAGTATTTCTCAGAATTGTGCATGGCTTCAAACCCCAACTGCATGGGGTCTGTCATTCCCAGTCATATTTTTCATTTTAGCCTGTCATCCTGTCCCTATCGCTAATGTCTTAGTTCAGGCAAAATGGTAGAGCTGAGACTCCTATCTCGTCTCCAAGCGGTTTTTAGTCTTATTTTAGGTTCACTGGAATATGTTCCATGAGATGGGATTGAGAGTTCAGAATACGGATAATGAGGCAGGGCATCATTCTGAGTCAGAGGAAATTTTGGTTTCACTATAGTTCTATATTTGAGTTTGACGGTGCAGAATTTTTGAACACCAGATATTAATCACAGTAGCCTACAGAATCTGGTTGTGTTGGCTTGATCAAGAGACAAAGTTTTAATACTTTAGTTTCTACCTTAGGGAACCAAAGTTGGTTTTGGATTCCACAATGCAGAGATCCTGAGAAAAATGTAGACTTCTTTATCCCGGTGTGTTTATAGGACTGGAAATGATGCTATACAGGTTTTAAAATGTCAGCACTCTATGCAAAAATTCACCGAAACTTTTGGTTCCTAGTACAGTGTTTTAAGATTTTTTTTAAAGATTTTATTTATTCATGAGAGACAGAAAGAGAGAGAGAGAGAGGCAGAGGGAGAAGCAGGCTCCCAAGGAGCAGGGAGCCCAACGTGGGACTCGATCCCAGGACCCTGGGATCATGACCTGAGCCGAAGGCAGACGCTTAGCCATCTGAGCCACCCAGGTGCCCTGTTTTAAGATTTTTATAGACATTATTTGTTGGGTGAGGTTGAAACAGTAGCTTCACTACTTCATCTACTCTAAACGTATCAGCTGACATTCTGAAAACTAGCTGAGTGTTTTGCATTACTTAGCTAGGATGTGTCTTTGACACATGAGGCTAGTTTAAAACTAATTCTGCGGGCTCCCTGCTCAGCGGGAGGCCTGCTTCTCCCTCCCCCACCCCCCCTGCTTGTGTTCCCTCTCTGGCTGTGTCTCTCTCTGTCAAATTAATAAATAAAATCTTTTAAAAAAAATAAAACTAATTCGCCTTGAGTACAACACTTTCACTTTATAAGCAGGATGCTAATTTTATACAAATGTCCTCTATGAATTTTGAAAAGTTAGGTAAATCAGGTTTTAAAACAGTAAGAAGAATGAAATATCTTCATTTTAACTTTGCAACAAGTTAAAACAATCAACTTGACCAACATTTCTGGTTTTCTTTTGTCTTTAACTTTCCCATCGTGCTCTAGCTCTAGGAAATGAGAAGACAAGTGGACTTGGAATGCTTTTTAATTAGCCTGGTAAATTTACTCTATAGAACTTCGTCACCGCAAAGGTGAAATTGCAGTTTCTTAATAAATGGCTTCATGTTTAAGGTTCATCATGGAAATGTTGAACTTGGGACACAGAATGACTAACCTTGGCACCAAATGGTGGCTTTCAAAGGGACTGCGGTTCCTATTCCCCCCATCATCAAATGGGAAGTTATTTTATCTAATAACTAGGTCACATTGGGAATTTTAAACAGATTTATTCTTATGAGAAAGAAATAGTTCCATAAGATAAAGTTGCAGGGATCTAGTGCAAAATTTTCCTTGTGGACAAGACCTTCACAGAGGACAGTTTTATAAAATTGGCATTTGGGGGCGCCTGGGTGGCTCAGTCGGTTACATGTCTGCCTTCGGCTCAGGTCATGATCCCAGGGTCCTGGGATCGATCCCCGCATCGGGCTCCCTGCTCGGCGGGAAGCCTGCTTCTCCCTCTCTCACTCGCCCTGCTTGTGTTCCTTCTCTCGCTGTCTCTCTCTGTCTGTTAAATAAATAATTAAAATCTTAAAAAAAATGGGCATTCGTCTTGTGAATGGAAAATATTCAGCTTAAGGCAGAATTAGTTTTAAACTAGCCTCATGTTACTCACTTGTTTTGTGTCTCTTAACCACTTGTAATTATGATTATACGTCTTTACAAGCACACAGGGGACTATTGAACTACTTACCAAGTATCACTTTTGGCAGCAAGAAATTGAATAGAGTAGACACTGTTAATCATGGTAAAATTAACAAGAAATACAACAGCTAAGAACAAATGCCAAAATACCAAAATGTCACCACTTAAGTGGCCTTACATACCTGTGATAATTTAGAATAGCTAAATGAATGGCATATTTTACAATTAGAAGTCTGAGCTATCCCCATCCAAAACAAAACAAAACAAAAACAAAAGAAAAAGACATGGCTATCTGTTCAGGACAAAAGCATTTGAATAATAAATGAGAAAAATGTCTAAAGCTAAAAATAGAAAAAAAATCCTGGTCTCATAGAGATTGGATATTCTGAGTGCAGAATTTCTTGTATATTATCTCAACAATTAAATATTTTTCACAATTCACATTTTAAAATTAAGACATTCACCCTAGAAAAATACATTATCCATGAGTATAGGCCACTATTTTGATTCGAGGACTATTTGGAGAATCTGGTTAAATATATGGAACTTTTCTCAGAAAAAGGCCCATTTGTGTAGAATTATAAGGGAATCCTGAAACTCTTCATGGAACTCAAATTGTGTAGAGAATGCCCTCAGTTCAGTGAATAATACATCAGATCAGATTGCCACTATACAGTTAAAAATTTGTTTACTCATTGGCCAATTAAATACACACACACATACCAGCCAGAGCACGACTGGGTACAGGCCCTGTGCTAGGTAATACTGCAGTGTGACTGACCATGAACTTGACTTTTATTTCACTCTGTCTCCCTTCCTAATTTTGTCTCCAAGTGGGAGGAAGCATCCTAATTCTGTTCTGCTGCAAAGCTCTTAGAGTCAGGCTGTTCACATCTACTTTCTCTCTAGTTTCCTTATACCCATCAGCTCTGATTGAACGTTGTTCTCTGGCCTGAAACTCCCAGCTGGGCTGGTAGGAAGTGCTCCACAGCGGAGCTCAGAGAGCACAGACTTGCTCTCACTTAGTTTTGTTCATTTATTAACACGTTAGTGATTGTCTCTGGCTAGGGGAAAAACAGTGAGACCTTAATAAGAATCACTCGTAAGAATCGCTCGTATGAGGCCGTTTTCTGCAAGTGACTGGCCCTCTGGGATACTCCACAGATTTATTTATCCCTGGTTTCTTTTAAGGTTTATTTTTAGGATCAAAATTTCCAAAAATAAGTTAGCCACATTCTATAGAATTGGTTTACATTAGTTTTTTGGATGCTTAGCCCATGCCAGCAACACAAGCCTCCAGGCTGTGTTTATTGCTGAAGGCAGTAAACCCTCCACTCACACTTGGGAGCAAACAAACCAAGCCCCGTAGTATTTATACAAAACCATAAACATGACACAGCACAAATCATTTGATGGTATTTGCTTAGGTCCATCAGAGGAAAGAGTTACTGCTTTCATAAGGGCTCAGATCCATCATGGCGCCTCTGATGGATCATGTTCTGAACTGCCTGAAGCATGAACTCTGTACTGGTGGATTTCTAATATTGATAGGTCTGATTAGTTGCCTCTTGATGTCAACATGCAAACCTAGGCCCTGAGTGCAGTAGGTCTTGCCAAACTGTGCAAAACAAAAAGCAGTTTGTATTGAGGGGGAACCACCTTTTCTAGAGTCTTTCTGAGGTACCTGTGATGACGTAATGCCTAATTGGGCATAGAAGCCGATGACGAGTTTGTTTCTTGAGTGCAAGATAACACCAAGGAAGAAATACTTTCTTCTACCTAAGCCTCCCCTGTTATCTGGCCACCCAGGCCTGAGAGAGGCTCCAGGGCTTGAGGCTTCTGGGAAGTGGAAGGAATGGGTGGGAGCACCATTTCTGGGTGCATCCTTCTGCCCACCAAACTCACATAGACTTTGGAGAAAGAATTTTTTAAAGTCTGTTTTGGGAGTTCTGAGGAATTTTACCACCAACCTCTCCTTTCCACCTTCCCATGTATGGGCCATGATTCTTCTAAAATTGTGTAGTTTGGGATAAGACAACAACAATTTTTAGATTTGCTGATATCTTTAAGATGACTGGCTCTGCAGATAAATGAAACAAAGAGCTTTTGTATTTGGGACTCAAAGCATATATGATATTAAGGTACAGTGTGCTTTAAAATTTTCTTATTATGGTTAATTTCATTGATTGTTAATGTCCAGGTGTTAAAACTCTAACATCTATATTTTATAATGATGCTTTTTGAATATTTTCTACCTGTAGGTAAATAACATCAGTGTTGCTTAATTTACTCATACATCAAGACAGAAGTACTGTTTACCCCTGCAATAAAAAAATTATAATCACATTTTTTTATACTCTTTTTTTTGAATTAAAATTTAAAACTTGGTCCCTAGCAACTGACATGAAATTGCCTTTGTATGGATGTGAACATGTGTCAATGAAGAAAGATGTCTTTTCATCTGGAAGGCAGAGATACTCACACAATGTGGGCCAAGTTGAGTGGCTTCTCAGGCTGGTCAGGGAACATGGGGTGCAAGGGTTCACGGCTGGAAGCACAGCTCAGAGACTTGCTTAATGCATTAGTTAGCTTCTTAGCAGGGGATTTCTGGAAAGAAGAAGAATGGTAGAAGTGATAAGAACTAACATTTACATATCATTTCAGGAGATGATTTGCTTTCATAATAGATATTCATTCATTTACTCATTCATTTATTCATTGATTTATTCTTGAAATCTTTGACTATCTACTCTAAGTCAGGGAGTTTGCTCAGTGCTGGAACTAAAGTTCTGGTATCATCCACCAGAGTACCTGCCTCTGGCAGCTTAGTGTTAGCAAATGCTGTGATAAATGGAAGCAGTCATTGTGCATGGGACATCTGAGGTGGAACTTAAGGGACCAGCAGGCGTCCTTCTGATAGTAACTCTGGGGACTGGGAAGATAATTCCAGATGGAGGAAGAAGAAACCCCATTCTGGAGAGGAAAGAAGAAGGCAGACCCTTGAAGTCCTTCTATGCCACATCAAGGACAGTGGTCTTTATCTCAAATGCAGAGGGAGACAATGAAGAGTTTAAATCATAGAGGTGACAGGATCAGATTCTAGAAGGATTACTCCTGCTTAAGAGCAGAAAACCATCTGGGAGGAGACAGGAGTGGAAGTAAGCAGGTGAGCAGAAGGTTTCACAGGCATCCAGGTGGAAGATGTTTTGGGCGTGGCTGGATCCATCCAGTTGAAAGTGAAAGGGGAACTTCAATTGGAGTCTTTGGAGTTTTAAAATTCATGTTCTTTGCAGAGCATCATGTTATCTCTTTTTCATTTAGATGAGTGGGATGTAGATCTTAAAATTTCACAGCCAAATCTATCAAAAATAATCTACCACATATAATAAATCTTTATACCAGCTCTTCCTTTCCATGAGAAGCCACGTACCATTTTGCCACTTCCTTTTACGTGGAGAGCCCAGAATTGGCAATACAATGAAATGACTTTTGTCGTCACTATTTAAAAGCTGAGCGATAGGAGCACTGTTCAAGAAGTCCCTCTTTGGCTTTTGTTAGGAGATATAATTCTTAGAACACCTAAAACACAGCCACTGCACCAGCTTTCCACCGCCATGAACATTGGAGTGTCTTTATCCTCTTGAGGGGTCTGATTCTATTTTGTAAAGACATTGCCCTGCCATAGAGCCATATAATTTTGAGCCCACAACCTCTAAGAAAGAGGCTCCTAAACTGACATTAGCATTTACGTAAAACAATCATGAAAAAATGCTTAATCTTCAAACACTAACCCTCCAGAATGTGAGATAGAACAAGTTTGAAAATTGGTAGTATATCGACCATAAGAAAATAGAAAGCATTTCCTCCTAGCTTCTGTACTAAATAGTAATAGCATTTCATGATCTGTGTTAGTAGGGCCATGCTCAGCATGTGACATAACCAACAGTGAGAGGTGGTACCTGCACTGGCATAAGGCCCTCAGTATACGACGCCTGGTACTTGAATTTAGAATCTGACAGATGCTGAAAAATTAATATATTTACACTGAATGCCGGTTCCCAATAATCATTCCTAGAAAGAACATTCTGATTTAAAATGCGTTTTCTGAATACCTCCTTTTTTTTTAAAAAAAAAGAACAATAAGTTACTCTTTATGTAAAGACTATAGGTTAATTGAAATATATAAAATATAGAAAAAACTCATAATAAAAAGTTTGCGTTTTCTTGTGTAAGAACTACTCCAAGAGGGGTTGGCAGGCCTGATGGTACATCCCACAAAAACCAATCCATACACAGAACAATACTTTCACACAAGCACAGAACAACCTCAGGGGACCCGAACTTTGAGTGTAACTGAGACAGGTCAGCAAACTAAACTGCTTGAACCCCGAGCTCAACGAGTCAGATTCCTCCCACACATGCATCACATGGACAGACTCTCAGAGGCCACCTCTGGTAAGCTGGTCACTCACAGTTTACAAAAAGATGATTTGCTCATAGAACCACAACCTCCCTGCCTCCAAAAAAGGAAACTGGAACAGTACCACTAAGCCCACGGGCTCACACGTCTTTCTTTTATGCTCTAGCCATGCATGTAATGGAACCCCAGAATCTGAGAAAAAAGGAGCTAGTGATAATTTTTAAGCAATTCCCACACCTGAAACCAAACAAAACTCGGAAAGAACTTTAACTTACTGTGAAGATGAGATTATGTCCCAAAGATGCTTGTTTGGTTGTTATCTAAACCAGTACCGAGCTGATTGTATCCCAAGAAGTAACAGAGTGTGAGTCTTCCTAAACTCTAAGTCCGTGGATGCTGCACTGGGTTCAGATGCAGCAATGAAGATGTCCCAGTAAGGTGAGGGAGTGGTGGGGGGCGTGCTAAAGTAGAAGTTAGGTTTGCCCCTCTATTCTCCTGCCATCCTTGCTGTTCCCTTGTGTTCTGAGCGACACTCACACATCCGAGGGTGAGTGTTGCCAGGACCTTGCCTTACCCATGAGGTGTACTCTTTCATTTGGTGCTGGTTGCTATGGGAACCGCCGGCATGTCCCCTCCAGAAGCAGTCCTGACAGAGTTGATAGTTGTGACACTGTTGGCATCGGTAGCGGAAGCCCATCATGCTCTCACTGTGGCAGTAGGAACATTCAACTGGATGGAAGACTATGGGGGAAGGAAATGGAGGGAAAAAAAATGAGAAAATAAAAGTCTAAGCCAGAATAAGGAAAAATGCAGCCTAACGGGAACTGCGTTTTTCTGCTGTGTGCCATGATTTCAGAGGATAGTCAATTTTGGCCGAGAGGAGCATTATGTTTATTCCCGGACGCTCAGCACCCTTTTCAAGCATGTGTGTGGAGGTGGAGGAAATGAAAGGGGATGGAGGATAGGTCTTCTTTTAACCACAAATTTCTCTCTCCACTTCCATCTCTTACACTCTGAGAATATAAATTACCCAAACTGACTCTCCTTTCCCTCAAGCTGCTCCCCTGTCTCCAGGAGACCAGCACAGCGCGCTGGAAGACTCAGAAGCACAACGGATGAGCACAACTGACTGTCCCCTGAGTGGAGAGCAGATATTAGAGAAATGGAAAACAGAGGGAGAAAAAAGAAAGGGGAATGAGGGAGAGTAGGAAAACTGGATGAGAGAACTGAATTATTTTGTTAAAAAAATGGAGTGGCGAATGGGCTTCTTTCATGAGTGACATTACCTCCATTTAACAATTTCTTTTTTTTTCCTTTCCCGAGAGGCAGATGGACAGAGCCCAAAGAGGTGTGTAAATGATGTGAATGCACTTCTAATTCAGATAGTTAGAAAAACACTTAACTCTCTCTGACAGACAATTTGAATTATAAAGCAGGCAAGGTAAAATACTTGAGATTTGAAGCTAACATACAATCAAATCCAAGTAACTGTCCACATGCTATGAGCTAAAGATATTAAACAACAAAAATTCTTGCCTTTGGTCAAGTTATTCTTTATGTAACCACAATTATTGAAAGCTTCCATTTGGAGCATACGACTGAAGATTAGCAAGGTACCATTATCTAATTTTTTCTCCATCTCCCCCGCCTATTCTTGGCCAAGTGCCTAGGAATGGTCAATGCCATGAACATCAATATGGGAAGTTCAGACCTAAAAATAATCCTGGAAAATGTCCTGTTCATTATTGAGATTCTTCTTCTGCTAGAGCAAGTCTACATAGCCACACGTGACTTCCAACTGAGAGACACATGGTGAGATTAATAAGCGTATGGAATTGACAGTCCTAAGTTTTTGGTGGACCTCAAAGGCCTCACTGATCAGGGGAAAAGGTTCTTTCAAAACTCAGAATTACTAAATGACTTTGGCTTAATAACGTAGACTTGATAGTCTAATTTCAATAATTTTAAAAACTGCCATGGCTCAGGAGTAACTACTCACCGTTTTCCACATTCGCCAGTCGATGCAGAAGGGGCAGCCAGACCAGACACTGGGGGGGAGGGTCGGACATGAGCGTGTCCAAGAAACCATTTAAGGTGACTTTTTTCTGCATCAAAAAACCCACAAAAATTTAGAACAGAGAATAATTTCAATTGACCTGCTATGTAAATACCATCTGAGATGAAAGACACAAGACGTCCAATTAACCTCTAATATATAAAGAAACAATATATTTTGATAGTTAAGAACCAGTTCTGAATTTAAACCCTTTGGTTGCTTTTGACACTTAAACACATGTAGGACTGGGTTATCTCCTCTGAGGCTGAGTCCATATTGCCACAAGGAGAACAACAGCTCTGGGAGGGGCGCTTTTGTGAACCAGGGACAGTATGAAAGTGATGAGGGAAGATGAGGCGTAGACCTGCTCTGTAAAATTTGACCCAACCGTGTGACCCACAATTCCTGTAGCAGGTGGTCTTCCCCATCTGTAGAACCACTTCCTTTATATACTCCCTCTACTCCCCCAAGTCCTACATACTTCATGGTTAATATGAATGGTTCTGCCATACACGATCAGGAGGGTGTCCTGTTAGGAGGGAGCGACCCTTTGCTGTGAGGAGAGAACCATCTATATTTTTGAAAATCCCTTTTCTCTTTATAGTTCTTTCCTCTTAATTCAGTCAGCATCTGTTTGCACTATCCTGGTCCTTTCCAATGTAGAAGAGGAATGTATTATAAGTTTCCTTAAAAATGACAAAAAATAAGAAGTTATAGGAGCACATGATATTATCATAGGATGAATGACAAAAAATGACATGTTTATGTGCAAAAGTCACTATTTTGGAAATTTTGAATCATAATATCAAATGGATGGGGTAGTTTTTTGTTTTTTTGCTTTTAAATTTTATTTTAATTCCAGTAGAGTTAACCTGCAGTGTTATATTATTTTCAGGGGTACAATATAGTGAGTCGGCAATTCTGTACATTTCTTAGCGCTCATCGAGATGAGTGTAGTCTTAATCCCCATCTCCCCACCACCTCCCCTCTGGTAACCATCTGTTTGTTCTCCACCAAAGACCCCAAATAACCAAACCAATTTTGAAACAAACAAACAAACAAACAAACAAACAAAGCTGGAGGCATCACAATTCTAGATTTCAAGATGTACTACAAAACTGTAGTAATCAAAACAGTATCGTACTGGCACAAAAACAGATCAATGGAACGGAGTAGACTGCCACGGGATAGTTTTTTATCTTTAGACAAGAAATCAGTGGTGAAGAGCTATAGTACCCTTTCAAGGTACCTATCTTAACACTAATCCTTGTCATTCACTCACAAAATATTTTGGTATGCTTTAATTCATCTTTTCTATCAGCAGATATTTATAATTTTAGCTTTTCCTCATAATACTAAATAGCTTAAGTGCTATAGAATCGATAGCAACATTATTATTAAAAGATATTTTATATAAAGTATAAGTAATGAGACATTTTGGAAAAAGCTACCACAATTTGTAGCATCTAAAATAATACTGGCTTTCAAAATAATCACTTGGAATGGCTTGTACTTTTTCCAATGAAGCAATGCAAACAAATGTAAAATTTCATCACTCAAACTGCTGTGATAGCCAGTTTATGAAGGACAAAAATAAACTGGTCCTATTATTTTTATTTGTGTTGCCTCTTTTTATACTTCAAATGATCTTATCCATTTTGATCATTCATCATGCTGCCTAAAAATCACTTCTGGCAGTTTCCAAAAATGTGATTATGATTTTAACATATATAAATTTCTCATCATTGAGGATATGTAAAAAATTATATAATAGGACAGTCTACAAGATATTTCAAAAGGAATTTTGAGCAGTGGTAACATCATATATAATTCTTATTGAACATGTAGGTCCTATGAAAATAGAAAGAGAGTCATCAAGAGAAAGAAAAGCAGAAACAAACTATTGGGACTACACCAAAATAAAAAGCTTTTGCACAGCGAGGGAAACCATCAACAAATGTACAAATGTACAAATAAACAAACCCAGAGGCAGGGAGACAAGCGTGGCGGTTAGTACAATAGGCCAGGCAACAGATGAGGATGAGGAAAAGAATCGGGAGAAACATTTAGATGGGGAAATCAGCAGGACTTGAGGACTCATGAGAACAACAGGGTGAGGAAGTCGTCTGGAAGGAGGCTTAGGTGAATGGAACCATTCTGATGTTACCAACTCGAAGGACAAATATAGAGAGGAGTGTGCTTCAGCTGGGAGCAGAGATGAGGGACCTAAGCTGGCCTAGGGCTGGGGCAGTGTGAGGGGTCAGAAAGGCTTTCTGGATGAGACAACACGGGACCAGAGCCAGCATTTAGTGTATCAAACCGTCCCACCTCTTATTAGTTGTATGGATACCTATGATTCTACATCAGTCCATGACTGGCAGGGATGTCTGAGGCACTTTTGACCTCCTAGGTCACAAGGAAATAGACTGATGAAGTTTACTAGGTGGGCAGTGAAATGCAGGTTTTCAGTGGCTGCTATGCCCTGATTTCTTAAGTAAGGGATTCTTTTAGAGGATATACTTGGTTAGTATGGATTTTCAAAAAATTTTAAGCAAACCTTCAATTTATGGGTTTGTAAACTACCATTGCCCTGTGCTGGAGAATGGTGCTGGTTATGCAGACTTTGTACCTGACTGGGCAGATGCAAACATTGAGTATTGAGCTATACTCAATAGCTTCTCTGGGCTAACTTGTACCACCCCCAGTTAAAACATGTCACTCTGAAGCCCTAATGTATCATGTCGCGGGGGACTTAGGCAGCTGTGTTTGTCATATGTCAGGACTTCCTGTGTGGCATACGCTATATGATTCCTTTCTTGTTTCCTTTGCTACACATTGGTGAAGCTTGGAGCTGGCTCTGACTTGTGTTTCATGTGAGGCTGAGTGACAATTCAGCTCTTTTGATAGTGTAGTGATAATGACAGCAATTATACCGAGGGTAGAGTTTTGTTGTAAGGATTAAATTAGACAATGCAAGAAAAGAGCTTAGCATGGTGCCCGACTCACTGTCAGGAAGTACCACCGATTATTATTTTCCAGGTATGTTGAGTTGAATTACTGGCTCAGAGGTCATTTGTCAGAGGCTGGGAGATACTACAGGTTATCATGAAGAAGACGTTGTCTAAGTGGTGACATGGAGTAACATACCAAAGGACAACCACCGTGTGAGAGACATTTCCTTTTTTTCCTACCTGTTGAGAGAAACAGGATCTCGCTGACTGTTCTGTATAACCAAATGAAGGACCTTCAAAAACGGCTGTGGGTAGTTTGAGAACTTCCCGTAGGAACTGATCATATCGTCCATAAACCATCACCCCACTGGAGTCAGAAATCATGGAGAAAATATCTGATGGAAGGAAAAGGAAAGATATTTACTCACCACATGAATATATTCTCTACTGTTTCAGTGAGACATATCTGCTGCAAATAACAAAAACTAGCAGAATAAGTAATTTTTTATGAAAGAGTAACATAGAAGTTAATTGTTATGCTGAAATATTCCTGGCATTGTGTTGTCTTTGGTGTCTTTTTGTAGCTGATTCTGGAACATAGCATTAATTTAGTTAAAATTAGCATATTTTGATAAGACAGAGAGCCATCACATTTTTATTTTGAGGTCAATTATAAGCTCATACATCACTCAATGGAAGGAATTTTTGTATATGTGAGGAAAATGCTGACCTCATTGAAACACACAATGAACATATACTGTAACGGTGAGGTGTGTATGTATTTAGCTAGCTAGCTACTTACCCATCTATATTATCACCAAGACCTTTGAGTTTTGGTTTAAGATACTGAAAAATGAAAGACGCAATGGGGATAAGGATGTAATGAAAACACCTGATTAACTTCCCACAGAAGCAGAAAACTTTCTATAAGTCATCGTGTTCCAGGTGGAAGGCACTTGATTTACAGGGAAGGGTCTTTTGACTCATGTAGTTGAGGGGAAGCCTGGCCTTGGGGAAGATCAGTGAGGTAAAGTCGGCATCCTGGACAGAGTCTGTGTCTTCATTGAACCTCTGTTCTTCAGTTTCTGCCACTATGGGCACTTAGTGAATATTAATGGCATAATTTCTCAAGGTACTTTATAATTCCTCTGTGGAAGTCACTACGGGAATGAAAGCGTCTGCTCTCATATAGTTTGTCACATGCTGGATTATAACTAGGCTGGCACAGCTGTTGGGATAAACTGTTGTAAATTCAATGTGCTGCCTCTGTTCATTTTGGGCTTAATGTCTCAAGGTCAAAATGCAATCTGGGGACATGGTTTTTACACCGCAGTCAGACGTTAAGCATATTACAGGCTTTTGCTGGATTATGTTTTGAGGATGTGAACTGACTCTCATTTCCTTCAAATACTCCATTTATAAAGGATTTCTACTGTGTTTCAAATAGTTCATCAATTATGAGGCTAAAGAAATTTTACCTAAGCTACAAAATTAATGTTGTTCTCATTCACCTTCACAATGGTTAACTTCGTGAATTTTATCTCTTACGTTTCATTATAACTGGTTAAAAAAAAAAAGAAAAAAGTTGCCAACAGCAAAAAAACTCTTACATAATCCCATATACAGAAACTCAAGAATTCCAATAGAAAGTAGAAAAAGGAAACCCAGGAAAAGTAAATGGACTTTCTTATCAGAGCTGCCATCTTGTGCGTTTTTAGGCAGGTTGGTCAACTATAATTGTGTCATCCTGATGATCTTCTAGCCAGGACTTTTCTAAGCCAGGATGCATTTTGAAAAGTAGCCCAGGCCTTTCAAATCTCCCATGGAAAGAATTTAGACAACAGTTCTAACTAGAGCAAAAGCTGAAGGAGTACCAACACTGACCTTTCACAAACTTGAAGCTCATATTAAACTTGTTTGTGTTGATGAAGTTTTGTTAAGCAATAGCCAAACTAGGGCTAGGTCACTGGGATCAAAGGGAAGGGGCTGTGAATGGTCACTCTGGTTTTTAAAAAGAAATGAGGGGACTCTAAGGAAGCTATCAAAATGATGTGTTTGTACTTTAGTTCTGGGCTCTCATATTATATAACAATATATATGCACATATGGATATAAAAATACACATACACACATATGTAATATGCTTATAATATGTAATATATGTGCATGTAATAAAATAGAAGGTATTTCAAAGATTAAATTAGTTAATAGATAAAAAACATACAGATGTAAAGGACACAGAATAGTGCTTGATACTTAGTACATAGTACAGAAATGTGAGCTATTTTTACTGTTAATTTCATATCACATTTTTTTCTGTTATTTACTTCAAATGCATAGGCTTTGCCTCCCCAGTGGGATTGTTCTGTAATGTTCCCAATCATACTCTAAATCACCACTGTATTTCTGACAGCACCACACAATGATAGATACTTCAGAAGAATTTATATTCTTTGATTCGTTCAACTAAAATTAACTTAGCACATACAAAATGTGTAAAACTGTGCTAAACAATGAATATACAGGAACATCAGGACATAGTTCTTTTTTATATTATTTTTTAAGGAATTAAAACAAAATTTTATTTGAAAATATATCGAACTTAACAAAATAATTGCAAGAATAAGAGTACTACAAAGAACACTCTCACGCCCTTTATCCAGATTCATCTATGAACACTTTATTCTATTTACTTTATCATCCTATCATCTATCTATCTATCTATCATCTATCAATCTATTATCTGTCTTTGTCTATCTGTGTGTATATATGTGTGGCAAACATACAATTTTTTTCTGAATTGAGACTAATTTGCATATATCATGGCCTTTACCTCTGAACACAGCCAGTGTGTCTTGCCTAAGAGTAAGAGTATATCTTCTGATGAGACTACAGCAGGGGTCAGCAAACTTTTTCTGTAAAGGACCAGATAGTGATATTTTGGGTTTTGTGGACCATATATGGTCTCTGTCACACACTTGTCTTTTTATTTTTTACAACCTTTAAAAATGTGGAAACCGTCTTAGCTCACAGACCATAGCTTGTTTACCTTGGGTTACAGGGTAATTATCCACTTTGGTATATCTAACATTGATACACTAATCTTATCTAATATTATCTAACCTATAGGCCATATTCCAATTTTGTGAATTGGTCAGTAATAGGACATAGTTCTTGACCTCTGGGAGGTCCCAGTCCCTTGAGGGTGCAGAGACGTGCTTACAGAATGCATCCTATGACATCATGAATCCTAACATGGTGGTGTGACTACCAGAACAGTAGGGTGCACGGGGTGCAGCAGGAGCTCAAAGAGAGGGCTTCTAGAGTGAAGGAAGATTTCATTACACAGGTGACTTCTAGGTCTTCCTAGGTGAGAGATGGGACTTCTAGGCCAAGCATAAAGGACAGTTAGGAGCTAGTCAGGCTTTAAGACACAGAATCAGGATGTGCACGGGCACGCTCAAGCATGATACACTCAAGGCTCTTGAAGTAGTTCATTGTGCCAGGGGCCGTGGGTGCCCACAAGGGCATGGTGGGAGATGAGGTAGAGATCTGAAGAGCTTTAAGGCTCTACTAAGGAGTTTAGGTTGTGTCCAAAAGATGTTGCAGGAGATACTAAAGATTTAAGGCAGGCCAGTGAGTTAGAAATATTACCCCAGGGGAAGGTATGGAGAAAGAACAACGAGTTCAGTTATAGAAACTCAACAAATACCTGGTGTTTGCCACAAGGCTAGTCTAGTAAACAAAACCAGCCCTTCCCAGAAGCTTTAGCACAGCACCTGACATTCCAGGCTTACAGCATTGTATTCGGAACTTCTTAGGATCCTTAGGACTATCTGAGAGCCCCAAGGAAGAAGTATAAACAGGTGTCCCAACTCATTACAACGACAGCTTATAACTGGACCAAGAGCAATTCAACAGAAATAGGGTATTTGATTAGGTTGGTTTCTGTTTAGGTTGCCGTGTCCCAGCACTGCCGGGGGCAGCCTCATACTCGAGGCTGCCTGGAGGTACGCAGTGAACACCCTGCATATTGGTTCCTGGCTGCCCCAAGTGTTGGAAATGGTAGTGCAATATGGATTTTTTTGCCCCTTTTCATGCATTTTAAAGCAGTTTGAAAAATTTAGTTTAAAATTTTCTGTCTTTCACTTTTTGCTTTCTAAAGTTCCTAATTTATTTTCACAATGACTCTTGCCCGGCACCCTCCCACATGAAGGGGCTAGTTGGAACAAATAAATACCTCTCATCCCTATGTACAAAAACAGAGAAACTGCCAAACAAGCACAGCGGTGGCATAGTGGCTTAAAGTGAATTAGAATTGAAAGAAGGGAAAACAAAACCCTGAAATACCGAGAAATTCCATATCCTTTCATTTTATTTTTTCTTAGTACAAAAGCAATGCAGAAAATCATTACTTGTCTGTTTTATCAGTAAGTGCAGCTAGCAAAAGGAGACAAGAGAAAACACAATCCTGCTCATCAAGAGTCAGCCTCTGCTGTCTGTGGGCAGATTTGCCCATATTTGTGTATTCAGTTAATTCTGAATTTTGTGTATTCACTGAAACTAGAAATATTGGTGACTGAATATATTTATTTTTGACTAACATTTTAGAGTTCTTCTAAGCAAAGTGCTTTCAGTTAAATTGTTTTTGTCAAATTGCTCTTGATCGACTTACCAGGAAACCACGAAAACCACCTTCTTGGGATTAAGTATACAAAGAGTGACTCCTCAGCCGGAGAGCTGGGGACACATTAGGCTGTGATTCAGATCCACCACTCTGGGAGAGGGCAGCATGATATATCTCATGATCATACTATCTGTTTTTGTTGTTCTCCAGAATTTGTGACTCTGAAATTAAGTTCTGCAGACTGGAGAACATGGTCTACTTCCAGTGAGACTCATGCATTGGTCAACTTCTTTCACTGCACTGAAGAGGATTTCCTTTGGCCACTAGGTAGCATGCATGCTTTGCTCACTGATGGTGGGGTGAGGAGAAAGCACCCTCGTGGTGACTTTGTTGGCTTTGAATTCCTCGACATGCAAGAAGATCTGCCAGGGCTTTGACAGTTGGTAAAGATCTGCCCAGAAACTTAGTTATCTTGAGCTTTGTAACTCTGCAGACATGGTTCCTTGCTGACCTAACAACCATTCCCTTGGTCTTTATGGACCCCAAATTTCTTCCTGTGCTAAGAAGGGAAAGCAGAGGCGTTTCCCAGCCCCAGAGGCAGGAGTGGATTCCTCCATGACTATCATGGGCATTCCTTTCTTGTTACCAGTAACTGGTGTAGTCCTGGGCAGTGACACTTACAGGCTGGGGGCCTCCAGAGTGAGATGTGACTCCTGAGATTGCCAGACCCCTTTTCCAAGGAGAGAGAGAAAATCTGCACCAGTGAAGCCTGAATGGAAAGATGGAAAGCACTATAGTCCTTGATGACACAGAATTAGCTTGGTTCATGAAAGGCTCCAAGGACCCCCAGGAAGGTCAGAAAACTGGTTCTCTCAGTTTTCCTGAAACTTATTTTAATATGGAATCCTTTTATCCATGTCCCTATTAATACAACATTGAGTAAGTATTTGGAAATGATTCTCAAGACTTAAAAACAAACCATGTATCTAATGTCCTCAGCATAAGTGGCCAATTGTGACATGAGGTCCGCAGACAAGGCCCTGCAGAGTTTCCTCCTCCACCCTGGTTCCCTGTGCTCAACTTTCTCTTCCCAGCCTAACCATAGAGGAAATGCCTCATGGATTACTATGAAGCTGTGTTTTAAAAAAGGACATTGGTTCTACCACCTTCTAATTTAGTTATTATCCCCACTCAAGCACTGAGGCAGATTTTAATTTTTAAAATATCTTTCAGGCTAGCTAAAGAGAAATTAATCTCTCCCTGTAAATCCTGCTTGGGCTTCTCTGAATCCGAAATGCATTTGACTGGTCCACGGAAGGAGGTTCCCAAAGTGTGGGGAGATGTGTGCTTGTGGGGTTTCCATGTGCCTTCTACTTATCTACTGGTACAATGACACAACTCTGTCTTGGAGTATGTCTGGGGAATTCCAGAGGAACAAAGAGTTTTTTTTGTTTTTTGTTTTCCTGTATCTTGTTCGTTTCCCCCCTCTTTGTGCATCAGGAAGAAAGAGATCACACTCCGAAGCTGACACGCAGCAGGTGAGAAAAGTGCCTGGAGGCTGTGAGTCACAGATGAGTAGAGCTGGGAGGGACCCTCTGGGTATCTAACAAAATCCCCAAATTTGGGATAAAGATGGAAGCCCAGGACTAAGGAAGTGGAGTAACTTCCACAGAATAACTCAGCGAATTAGTCACATAGCTGGGCTTACAAGCTGGGGTTCCTGATTCTCATGACAGTGCTCTTTCCCACATAGCATTATAACCCAAACTCATCATATTTAAGGTAAGGGAAAGGGGTAAGTGGAAATTTTTCTTTTAAACAGCAGCATCTACATCATTTAAAATAGTTGGAAATGAAAATTCTCGTCCCCTACCCCCACCCTAGGTCTTCTGAAACAAAAACTCTGAGAGTGGGACCCAGAAATCTATGGTTTAAAAAGCCCTCCAGATGGGGAAGAATGAAGGGGGGAAAATCGGAGGGGGAGACGAACCATGAGAGACTATGGACTCTGAGAAACAAACTGAGGGTTCCAGAGGGGAGGGGGGTGGGGGGATGGGTTAGCCTGGTGATGGGTATTAAAGAGGGCACGTTCTGCATGGAGCACTGGATGTTATGCACAAACAATGAATCATGGAACACTACATCAAAAACTAATGATGTAATGAATGGTGATTAACATAACAATAAAAAATAAAAAAAAAAGCCCTCCAGATGATTCTATATATCCTAAAATTTCAGAACCACTGGTATAGAGAAAAAAGTCAGGTTCAAATCCTGGTACCACCTTAGCTATATGATTTACTTTATGCTAACTCTCCGAGTCTCAGCTTCTTTACCTAAAACAAACAAAACTCTTGTGTTTTCTTGGTTAAAGAACTACCACATTTGGTGACAAAATGTACATAAAAGGGCCCACAATCACTCAATGCACCTTAGCTACATGTTTTTACTGGAATCCAGTTAATTCTCAGTCTGTAGTGTTTCTGTGCAATTCTTATGCCTCTACCTTGGCAATGTCTATTTTGGAACCTTTGGGATTCCCAGTGATTTGAACAGCACTGGCTAATAAGAATGAGGAAACGTGCCAGGAGCTTTGGCTTTAGATTACCTAAAAAAGGGAGATTGTCCAACATGGCTTTCATGTCCCTATGAAGATGGACTTATGCCTGTAAGGCAGTATAGTACAATGAACTTGAAAGGATATACATCTTACTTTAATACTACAGTCTAGTTGGTGATACTCAACAGGTTATAACGAATAATAATCCATAAGTAGAAGGAAAACATTCATTATCGTTACCATTTATCTAATATGAAAATATTTCTGTCATAAAATCCAAAGATCCATGAAGATTATATTTCAAACAACTTTCACAGAATGAGGAGAGTCCAAATGGGCGGCAGGACATAGCAGAAATGGGGAAAAGAAAATGTGGCACATGGGAGGAATAAGCAAAGAGAGACACAAAGAATAACTTACATCTTAATTTGTCCATGATCTTCCCTCCACACAATGTGGCTAAAGCCATTTTGACAGCAAATACTGAAATTTTACCATGGCCTTCCCTGTTTAATGATGAGAGAGAGAAAGAGAGAGAGAGAGAGAAAAAAAGGTGTCATTTGGAGAACTTCCAGTAATGAGATCTGACATTTTCTGTTCTGTAGAAATCATAGGACACTGTAGCTGCATACATTATGTGAACATACCCATTTTGAAAAGACCATGAATACAATTCAACACAAATTTCTGAAAAGCTGTCTATTCAATGTTTCCTTTTTTCAAGAGAGAGCAGAATCTTCAAGTTATTCTTTGTATATGTCACTTGCTCAAAGCATGAACTGGCAGCTAGAGGGATATGTACTATTTAGCCAAGGATTACAATTACAGAACATGATTTCACTCTGGGTTTCATAAAATAATTTTATGCATGATGATTCCACAGGGTCTATAATTTATTTAAACAAGGTTTCAGAAAAAAAAATTTTGTTTCGGTCAGAGAATTCCAGAATTTTGTTAGAGTAACTGTGGGGACTTTTCCATCACGCTTTTTTCCCACCCATCATTTCCTATCCATAAGCTGACTGTGTGTATGTGATATATTTACTTTTCAAAGAGAGTTGCTATTTTAAAGTGGCAAAAGGAAGAGCTCTGTTTGAGCTCCTTCCACCTAAATGACACCAGATCTGCCAAATCTTCATTGATTCAGGAAGTATAACTAACTTGTCCTTCACAAAATGTGATATAAAGGGCACACTGTAAGAAGTATAATATTTCAGCCAAATGATTTTCCAGCTGGGATGTTTATTCTTGTATCCTTGGAATCAGTAAGTGTACCCCATTAGTAATTCATTTCTTTGATAGTTGCTACTCTTAAGAATGATCAAAGGAGTTATTTAAAATAATAATGTGGCTAAGAGGTAAGAAAAGCATGGACAAGAGTTTAGTATATAGAATAAATCATTTGTATGAATAAGGTCCATATATGTGACAGATTAGAAGAATAAGATATAATAAATAATTGTGTCTTTGTTCATTACTGGACTCCAGAGACAGATCATTTATTAGTCATCCTTATTGTAGTCTTTCTTAGCATAGGAACTCAAATACAGCCAGCCAGAATGCAAAAGTGACTGAGCCCTAGCCTAGTGGCTCTCCCATATGTATTTCTAAGCCTAAGCACCAGATCTATATAATTATTTATTAGAAATAATCTTGCCTTGGATACTTCATGTCAAACCAAATACGTTCAAAGTAGAACCCATGATCGTTACAGAGCCGTCCCATCATCCTCAGACCAACCCACTACCAACCTGCTTCTGGTTGTCAGTCCCTCTTCTGGCTGTCGGACTTACCATGTACCTAGTTACCCAAAAATGAATGCCGGGGAAGGGGTTACCCTTGACTTTGTTCTCTTCCCTAATTTCCCACCACCTGAATAAATGTCTGAGGGACTCATATATACCTCCTACCTGTATATTAAACCCATTCCCTGCTTTCCATTCTAACTGACATTGCCTCACCAGCTCTTGTGTGAACACTGTAATAACTTCTTAAATGATCTCTCTGTTTGCACACTCACATCACAGATTCGACTATAGTATTTCATTATTTAAATTTCTGATTGCCTCTGTTTGCCTACAGGATATGGTTACGACTTCACCTGCTCTCTCCAGTCTCATCTGCTACCATTTCTGTTGAACTCCACTCCCCAGTCCCAAGTTTAAAGCCCCTGCCCTTCCTACCACCTTTTGCCCAGGACTCTCCCACCTATTCATCAAGACTCAGCTCAATATCATCACTCACCTGGCTCTGGAATGTGCAGGCAAATGCTCTCCCCTTCACTTTCATCTACTATTTGGCACCTGTCACACTAAGTGAACTTAATTTGTTTATTTACATGTCTGCATGTAATGTGACCCCACACTGTGAGATCCCTGGGGACAGAGACCATATCTTCTAAATTAGTTGAATTCCTAGCACCTTGCACTTCAGCACTGTCTCCCCCAGAATTAGTGAACAATATACTTCTTATGTTAATTAATGACTACTAATCATTATAATAGGTGCCCCTAGAATTTTGAATGACCACTCACTTAGTTGTTTGCTAATTTTAGAGCAGGTAGCTGTAAGAAAAATGCAACGATGTTGTAAAAAACCTCATTCAAAATTATTCCATGTGCACTGTATTCCCAATTGCATGGATAACCAGAAGTATCAAAAATTTTATTTTAGGAAATAATTAGTTCCCTTTCCTCAGCTGAAACATGGTTCAAATTATGAGGACAGGGAAATTTACCAACTGTGGAAGAATAGGAGCAATAAAGTGATAAAGTAGTCTTCAAAACGCAGAGAAATTGAGGAGCATTATATGTGAGGCTTTAAGGGCAATACCAGTTTCTTTCAAGGAATCGGAGAGAACAATTTAACTCACGAAAGAGGATAGACCACAGGTAATATTGGCACAGAGAGTTCTCCACAGGATGAAATGATGATAGCTCACAGATGCATTCTTAAACCTTAGTTTTTAATGAAGAAGATCATAGGGAGATCACCAGTTCTGTATTGTTCTTGGAAATGCAAGATTAATGCTATTACATTCAGGAGTGGTTGTATCAGAGCTATTCTGCCAAATTGACACAATAAATCTAGATAAATCACCAAGTGGAGGGCAGTTCAATGAGAGTTTTGCAGGAACTCAAGGGTGAAATTAGGCCACTGGAATGTATTGTTATGCAAGTCAGTGTGCCAGATTGCAAAGGTGACCCTTGTCACTAAGATGGATTCAGGGGGTATGCAGGAATGTAGATCTCGGGAAGCACACCACTGGTGGGTGAGTTTAGACCTTGCTCAGCCCCGATATTGGATAAACCTTGAAGGAATTTAAGGAGTGGAGATGAATGACTCCACAATGGAAAAGGGGGACACCGAGGTTTTAAATACATGTGGATCTTTTTTTTTTTTTTAAGATTTTATTTATTTATTTGAGAGAGAGAATGAAGGAGAGAGGGAGAGCATGAAAGGGGGGAGGATCGAAGGGAGAAGCAGACTCCCCTCTGAGCAGGGAGCCCGATGCGGGACTGGATCCTGGGACTCCAGGATCATGACCTGAGCTGAAGGTAGTCGCTTAACTGACTGAGCCACCCAGGCGCCCCACGTGGATCTTTTTAAAGAACATTTTCAGTAGATATAACAGGATGAAGAAAGGTGGGAGGTGGGGAGAAAAAGATTTTTTAAAGGCCTTTGACAAGATTCCATACCAAAGGCCATTACTTAAGGTCAGCTTGGGATCATGGTCCCTTTTTTTTTTTTTTTTTGGTGAAAAAAGTGGCATTAACAAAGGAAGCGAGGAGTAAGGAGAGGTTGGGACATCCAAAGGGGATGCTCATTGGGCATCATCCCTGACCGGGGCCGTTTGATTCATGAACAGTTCAGGAAATCCCTTAAGTATCTAGGAAGTGTAAAGTCAAGTTCATGAGGATGGATATCAGGAAGCTCCCAGGAGTCTTGTGCAAACGAGCAGGAAAGCGACATATTGTTCCAAAGTGAGTACGCACACGCAATGACTCTAGAAGTAAAGCAGTCAAACTGCAAATATGGAATGTTGGCCGTTGGCCATAACTCTGGAAACAGACCGGCCAAAGCCTGCTGAGGATGAAAAACATAGATTGTCCTTAATGCTGCAGGCCAAACAGCCTTGGAACGGCCACACCAGGGAAGAGTGCTAGAAAAAGTCTATGCTCTTGTCTTGTTTTTATGAGACGCTATGGCAGCAAATCTCCAAGTTCACGTGCAGTTCTGAGTGCCACTAAAGAAAGACGGAGCAGAGCTAGCCGTGTTTGAGAATACCGCGAGCCTTAGATGAAGTATCCATCAGGACGATCCACTTCCTGGGTGGGCGGGGCCCTAGAATCAATGACCCAACCACATGAGCTATTCTTTGCGAATAAAAGTTGCTAGTGCAGTTGATTCTTTAGTAGTGTACGGCACAGCAAGAGCTTTAAAAGGAAATTTACTATTAGCCTATCTTTTTTTCTTAAAAATTTTATTTTTAAAGTAAAAATTGTATTTATTTTAATATTTTCCCTTTCAGTGTAGAGCAAGAACACAATTCATAATACATTGCTTTCCTCTTTTTTCCATTATTTGGTTTTTGGCATAATGTAATATATTCTATTTTTTAGGCCAGCTATCCTGAAGTTCTTGCCAGTACAAACTTCACTTTCCTGTTCTAGCTTGAGGTCAAAAACCACTCAATTAAATCGCTATACCAGCATATAATTAATACCTTAAAGGGTATTTAAGACAATCAAAAAAATTAGCAAAAGTACAAACTGAAATTGCTTTATAAGTCAACGTTTCCTTGAATCTTTTATTTCCTTTATACTTTGTTTTCTCACTCTGAAAATTTTCAAATTTTCCTAAGAGGTGACTGATTAAAAATGGAAACCAGAAAGCACTTACCCTTTGGTTGAATTATATGTAAAGATTTGTAGAGTCTCTTAAAAACATAAATTACTTTAAAGCTTGACTCATCATAATAAAAAGTGAGTAAACTGCATTACAGTGGACTTTTTCCATGACCTCACAAAGAGACAAACTGATTTCTTTGAACTAAGAAGGTACTGGTTTCAGGGAAAATTTGTCTGGGAAGAAAAATCTGCTTTTGACAAGAAGGGAAAACAGCAAATAGATATTGCTAGGTCTGGGAGGCTAGGCTGAATTCGGAACAGAATGTAAATTTTCTCTAAGTTGCCAAGCGAGTTTCCTGTTTGAAATTATAGAATCCCCTGATAAATTTTAAGTTGTTGAAAATGAGATTTGAATTCTGACTGATTCTTTTTGGAACAGGCTGGAGGAATTATTTTTCTATTTAAGAGTACTAAAACCAGAAGCTCTTCTTTTACCAACACATTTCACAAAAACATTTGGTAAGCATTTTGATGAGCACAGAACTCAAATTGCTCTTTCTCACACATTTTGGTGGCTTAATTAGCTGAGAAAATTGTTTCCTCCTCTGGCTTTCACAACACGCCTCTATCATAACTCATGTCTTTATCTGGGAATA